CTGCATTGAAGGCAGACTGCAAGTACTAGCACAACTGGATCCTTCTGGTCATGTCTAGTACCCCTTACTAGGTTGCTTTTTCTTAATGATTACAATAAAATGAGAAGGAGCGTGCCATTTATCATGGATTCAGATAATTAAGATGTATGTTTACACCAAGTGCTTTCTAGGATCAGCAATACAATACAAGTGACATTCCTGAGCAGAGGCCGATTCCTGACCTTCACTCATGACTGAAAGAAAATAACAGATTGCTGGACATGATCCGGCAGAGAAGGGAACAGAAACAAACAAAACAAAACTTCTTTTTTTTCAGCACATTCTAAGTGATAGATTTTGTGGTAGGAGATCTGAAAAGTTTCCCTTAACTCTTTATAATCACAACTATAAGCATATAAAGTATCTAAATGCTTTGGAGGTGAAGATGACAGAGACAATAACCTCATTTTGTACCCTTCTGCATTATTATAATATTGTCAACCACATGCATTTAATTTTCATTATGTCTGTAATTAGAAGAGATTGACGTTACCGTCAATTTATATATGTGGAAACCAAGATGCAAAAATATTAGGCGATTTTCTTTTGCTAGGACCCACAGCCAGAAAACAATGGAACCAATACTTGCCTTTGAAAATATTATTGTCTTAGAGAAAAGAGTTTGAGGGGAGAGGGAAAAGAAATTTAGAGAGTTCATTCTTGGTAAATCCATTTTCTCACTAACATAGAATTGGTTGTCCACTAAGAAAAGCAAAACTAGGGAAAAACAAAGGAATTGAGGAAAGGGACTAAAAAAGAAAAAAAAATTAAAAGAAACCATTTCATGAGCCTGGGGGAGGAACCTGACTAGGGCTAGGTAAATGGATTGCTCAGCAAGGATGAGGGCCTGCTAAGATTGGAACTCATGAATTTGTAATGCAGCCAATCAGCACACTTACGTAATTTTTTCCCAGTAGTGCTAGGGAAGTCCAGAAGCCATTGATTCAGGACTGGGAGGACAGGCGTGGTGCTAAACAGCTTAAAAAGTCATAAGGTAATGTGTTAGTCAGCCTTGCATTGCTGCAACAAAATGCCTGACATAAATAACTTAAATGAAGCAAGACTTACTCAGGCTCACAGTTTCGGAGACTTCAGTCCATGGTCATCTGGTTCCAACACTGTGGCCTGAGGTAAGACAGAACATCCTGGCAGAAGGATGAGGTACAGCAAAGCTGCTCACCTCATGGAAGCCAGGAAGCAGAAAAAGAAGAAAAAAGCCAGAGAGGAAGGGGCCAGAAAAAGATATAGTCCCAAAGGTCACACCATGAACCACTCCCTTCAACTAGCCCCTACCTCCTGTTTCCAACAGCCCAAATAATGCCATCCAATTGTGATCTCATCAGTAGATGAATCCACTGATGAAGTTAGAGCCCTCAAAATCCAATCATCTTCAACCTCTGAACACATGAGACTGTGGGAGGACATTTTAGATCTAAACCATAAGGAACTTGCAGTTTCAAAGCAGGTACGATAATTGAAACTGTCTTCTACCCCTTCTGAGAACATACTAAAGAGAAGAGTAGGATTAAAACAAGCAAAGTCATACAGCACAGAGCAATGGAAAGAGGGACACCAAACTTCATGAATGGTGCATAGGCAGCCATGAGTTCATGGCAAAGGGCGCTTTGCAGGATAAGGAGCCAGCCTGCCCACAGGAACCTCCAAATAGCTTCGAGCCTGAGTCAGCAAATGTGACTCGGTAAGAGGAAAACATGCAGGGGAATATGATGGAGTTCCCTGGGAATCAGAGGGAGAGAAACCATATGGGTGGGTCTTTCCATTCTCATGTTAAACCCACCCCAGCACCAATTCAGAGTCCAGAGATTCAACAGAAAGCTCTTCTCTAAAGAAAGTGGAAAAAATTAACAAAGCTAAGCTTCTACTCTGGTGTTGACAGCTCAGAACCAAACCCCCTAATTCTTATATTTGGGATGAAGGAGAAGTACATAACCTGAGAGATGCTAGACTGAGTGCTGTCAACCTGCAAAGCCCAGAAAAAAATAAATAGAAAGTTGATCCTTAAAACCAAATGATAAGATGTACGGCATAAAAACAACAACAAAAAAGGGCCGGGGATTTAGCTCAGTGGTTCCGCTGCTTGCCTCCCAAGCACAAGAACTCGAGTTCAATCCCCGGTACCAAAAAAAAAAAAAAATTGTAATTGCATACATAGGAAGATTTGAGAAGATAACACTCTCTAAAACAACATCAAGATGCTACAAAAAGAGAACATTCAAAATTCAACAAAGAAAAAAATTATCCTCAAAATAAAAACTTATATTAACAACAAGGTTTGGGAAAAGCTCTCATAGCAAAAGATTCAAGATTCAGTTAGTAAAAAGACAATCCACAGAATGGGAAAAAAAAATTTTGTCAGCTACTCATCAGAGGACTAATATCCAGAATATATAAAGAACTCAAAAAAATTAAACCACCTAAAATTAAAGACCCAGTCAAGAAATGGGCTAGAGAAATGAACAGACACTTCAGAGAGGAAGAAATACAAATGGCCAACAAATACATGAAAAACGTTCAATGTCTCTGGCCATTAGAGAAATGCAAATTAAAACAACCTAAGATTCCATCTTACTCCAGAAAGAATGGCAATCATTAGGAAATCAAACAATAACAAATGCTGGTGTGGCTGTGGCAAAAAAGGAACATTGTTGGTGGGAATGTAAATTAGTACAACCATTATGGAAATCAGTATGGAGTTTCCTCAAAGAATTGAAATTAGAAATTCCATACAACCCAGCTATCCCCTTGCTAGGTATCTTCCCCAAAGAGCTTAAGTCATCATACTACAGTGATAAATGCAGACCAATGTTTACAATTCATAATAGCTAAATTCATAATAGCTAAATCCTGAAAGCAGCCTGTATACCCATCAACAAATGACTGGATAAACAAAATGTGGTATCTATATATAGTGGAATACTACTTGGCTATGAAGAATGAAAAATTTGAGGCATTTGTAGGAAAATAGAAGTACCTGGAAAATATAATGTTGAATGAAATAAACAAGACATACAAATTTGAATATTGTATGATATCCCTCATTTGAGTGAGACAAGGTACAAAGAAAATGAAAAAAGATGACTAGAAAGAAACAAGGGGATTTAGCTCAGTGGTTCCGGCACCTGCCTCGCAAGCGCAAGGTCCCAAGTTCAATCCCCGGTACCAAAACAAAATAAAATTAAATTAAAAAATAAAAAGAAACAAGGGGACAGATTTTGTACAATAAGGAAATGGTCCAAGAGAACAAAGAGAAGAGTAAGGGAGAGAGAAGGGAATAGAGATATCCCATGTACAGGAACCTAATAACTATAATCAATGTTATCAGTGTAAACATTGTAAGACAGAACGTGCTAAGACGAACAGTATCAACAGGTACAAAAAAGGTGACTGGTGAACCAGACGCGGAAGGGGGAGGGGGAGGGAAGGAGAAGGGAAAGGGAGCAAAAAAGCAAGCTGTAATATGTACATGTATGTAAACACTCCCCACGATGATGGCAAACGGCATGAATTACAAACATGTACTAATAAAATTAGACTTTAAAAAGAGAAAATATGAAATATCAGACAATAAATTAAACACACAACCAATGAGTCCATATGTGCCAACATCTAATTAATAGGAGTCCTGGAGAACACAGGGAAAATGCACAGGCAAAACTAATCATGCTATAGTAGAAGAAAACCTCCCTACGCTTCAAAAAAGTGCATGTTAAATTAAAAGGGCTCAAAAGTGAGGAATGTATGAACAAAGTGTGTGGAGATATCCATCCATCCATCATCTGCCCATCATCTAATCATTCATGCAGCAAATGCCATGCACTGTTTTCTGATGGCAGGGACGGAACTGTTATGTAGACAGATACACTGATTGGTCTCAAGCAGCTCATGTTTGGAGCCAGAAGTCAGGAGCAAAGCAAATACTTACACAAGACAGTTTCAGATAATGTGTGCTCTGTAGAGGGAACTGAGAAGGAATAATGTGACCAAGAGTAAAGAGTGGGCTCCCTTAATCTGTGCAGAGAGGGCAAGTCCCTCTGGGAAGGTGATTGCTGAGTGTTGGAAATAACCTGTCTGGTCTGTACCTCAGCTTTGTCATGTGTACAGCCAGGTCACCAGCAGCACCTGCCTGATAGGGTTGTTGTGAGGATTCCGGGGTTCATATATGTAAAGAAGAACACTTGGCATGCAGTAGGGTCAGTGTAAGTGTCAATGTGTTTCATATTCTTGTCACTGGTACATAAAGAACTCCAGGCTATATTATCACATAAAAATAAAGCTCAGAAAAATCTGTGTAGAATGCTCTCCGTTGAACATGAAATAGGGAAAACTGGAAATACACATTCATGGTTTCATGTGTAAAGAAGCCCTAGAAGGATACACACATACACCAAAAGAAAAAAAAAAAGTGGGTAAAAGTGTTGACATGGTTTGCCTTTCATTGGAGAAGTCAAAAGTAGGTGAATGGAGGACTCTGGTAAAATCAAGGCTTTTGATTGTAGATTGTGTTTTCATTGATTTTTTTAAGCTATGTGAACATATTGCCCATTCAAAATATATTAAAAACAGAGCAATTTTCATAAATCCAATGAGCATTTTCTCCTTGTCTACTGTAATCAAAATGCTATGACGGTCACTTTGTGAAGACAGAAAGGGGCATAGACCAAGGCAAGACTGTGGCCTCTGCCCTCCAGGAGTGTGGGTTCACTTTAGAGAGAGAGCACAACATGGGAAGAATGGCTAGAGGGAAGGGCATTCTGACCGGGGTGGGTACACACACAGGTGTGCACGGAGTCTGACCGGGGTGCGTACATACACCGGGGTACATGGAGTCGACCTGGGTGCATACACACACAGATGTACATGGAGTCTGACCAGGGTGTACACACGCACACAGGGCTTTGCACTTCAGTAGAGTGGCAGGGATGGCCTTCAGAGGTACTTACCCTGTTGTATATGGGATGTTTATGCCCCCTAGATTAATACTTTCACATCCAACAATGAACAGGGTTGAAAAACACAGGAGAGACACACCACTGCAGATCATTGCTAGTTTTGCAGATTCTCTTGCACCAAGTTTCAATTTTTTAATAATGTAGCCTCCCAGGACAATACCAACACCAGCACTGGGGACAATAATAACACCTGGGGAGAAGAGAGGAGAGGATTAATTTGAACTGGTGCAGATTGTTATTTGTCTTTTCTAATTATTCTATTTCTACTTGCTCATAGTACTAAGCAAAGAATAAAAAATAGTATATTCAATAAATCTTTAGTGTGTGATCTTATAGTATAATGTTTTGAACACATACAATTAACAAAGGACTCATATTTAGATGGCATTTAAAAAATTTTTTCCAAAGCAATAAAACAAAGACAAACAACCTATTAAAAGTGAGCTTGGTATCATCTGGTAGAGTTGAAGATATTCACACCCTGTAACAGGCAATTTCATTCCTGGATATATACCCTGAAGAAACTCGTGCACATGGGTACCCAAGGAAGTGTACAAGATATGTGAAGCATCATAAGAGCTCCAAACTGTAAATAAACCAAATGTCATTAACAGATACATTATGTATAATATACGCATATAGCGGAGTGCTATTATACAGCAATAAAAGGGAAGCAGTTTAACAACCTAGAAGTATGTGGATGAATTTTACAAAGAATGCTGAATGTAAGAAATAAAATGCAAAAGAATACACACAACATGTTTACACTTGCATTAAGTCCAAGAACCTGTAAAACTAAACCATGTTTGGGAATGCACATACAGTCATGATGAAAACACAGGAAGTAATTGCCATAAATGCCAAGGTGGTAGTAAGAGGAGTGATGTCAGAGAAGGTACCGAAAATATTCCATTCCATTATTTAGGTAAGTGTTAATACCATGGTCTCAATGTGTGTCCCCCTTAACTCATATGTTAAAATTCTCACCCCAATGTCATAGTATTGGGAGGTTGAAACCTTCGGAATGATTAAATCACAAAGGTGGAGGCTGCATGAATAGAATAAGCGCCCTAATAAACGAGGTCAGAGAGCTCTCTCTCCCCCTGCTGCCATCTGAGGACATGGAGAGTATGCTCTATGAAGAAGCAGCCCCTCGCCAGACACCAAGTCAGCCAGTGCTTTGATCTTGGATTCCCAATCTAGAGCTGTAAGAAACAAATATCTCTTGCTTACAAGCCACTCTGTCTATGAAATCTCGTTATAGCCCCCAAAACAAGCTACAAGTGTTTCCTTTGTATTTATTCCTTATCTCTAAATTTTAGTTAAGGTACTTCTGAGTATGTTATGTTTTATAGCCAAAAATAATGAAGAAATAGTCACAGTGCCTGCCCCAAGAACCTTACAATCTAAAAGAGAAACACACAGGTTACTAGAAAAGTAGAATACAAGACAATAACCATACAAAGTGCAGTCAGAACACAAGGAGAGACACCCAAGTCTTCCCCAGAAGAAATCAGGGAGGGCTTTTTACAGTGGTGACACTTGAGCTGACCCTCAGCAAATGAGATAGAATCTGCCCAGTGGACAGGCAGAGAGAACATTCTGTACAGAGGAAAAACTTGGAGAGAAGCAGGGGTAATGGAATTGGAGATTCAAAGCAGCTCAAAGCCGCTAGAAGATGGTGGGACATGGGGACGAGAGGTTAAGAAGACAAGAGAGCATGACAGAGCATAAAAAGAAGCTCAGATTGTATCTCTAGACAATGGAAGGCCACTGGAGGACCTCGAGCTGGGTCAGATGATGTGGGAGATGTGTATTGTGAAGATCATTCTTGCAGTGAGAAGCAAGACAGTTTAGACAGGGTGAACACAGTAGTTAGAGAAGAGCTCAGGAGGATAACCACAAAGGTTCTGGAGAGCCATCCTAAGCTCTGCACCAACTGCATAATAAATTTGATAAGGAGGCTAGGTGAGGCTAGCATGTGACACAGGGAGAGAGCTAGGATCGATCCAGAATGTGAGGCATCTCAGGGGCCTCCACTGTGGACATGTTGATTGTGAAGGGCCTGTAGGACAATCAGGTAGAAATGCTTCACACTGCTGCCCTGTGTGGGGGCCACAGGCCAGGAGGAGCTGGGCTGGGGAATTTGTCGCTGAATTCATGGCAGAGACAGGAGGTTCCAACAGGGCCCACAGTGCGAAAACAAAGGACCAAAGCCATTGGAGGAGCACCAAAGTTAACAAGATGTCATGAAAAGCTGAGCCCACAGAGGAAGCTGGGAACAAGCAGCTCCTTAGGCAAGAGGAACTCTAGAAAAGAGAAATGTCATAATGAGATAAACCTTGGGATTTGGGTCGTGAAAATAGCTGTGTGATCACGCACAAGATTCCAAAACTCTCTAGGCCAGATACCTTTGCTTTCTCATGAGTTGTCCCCTTCCACCTGAGAATGTGGATCACAGACACTCTCTGTAAGTAGACATGGCACAGAGCATATGGTACATGTTATAAACTGTAGTAACTGTGTTACAGTTGTGCCATAGAAAACTAAGAGAGACAGTTTCAAGGGGAAACCAGACAATGATGTCAAATGGCAAAGAAATCCAACAAGAAAGGCTGAAATGAGATCATGATGTCATTGGAGACACTGGCAAGAGCAATCTAAAGGTGGAGTGAAGGAAGAAGCCAGACTGCAATGGGGTGAGCAGTCTGTCATGAGGCCTAGAGTTTGGGGACTCAGGCTGCTCTTTCAGGAACTCTGGGTATCAGAAAAAGGAGGGTATGAGTTAAAGAGGAGCCAAGATTGCAGCTTGGAGGAGATCAGTCTGTTTTGCTAAGATGCAGAGAAGACTTAAGCAGATTTACATATGGAGGAAACTAGACTATAAAGAGTGCGAGGTCCTTGAGAAGTAGCAGGATACGGGACCAATAGCTCAGATGGTCAGCTTGGCCCTGGAGGGGGCTTCATAAATCTCATAAATCTCAGCTTTCCTGCTTGGTTAGTTTTCCATTATTTTGGAAACATAATGTAATCATGTTGTAATAGAACATTTCAAAGCATAAAGAAGACACAAAAATCCACTGCTTACATTCTGACATATTTCCTTGAAGCAATTTTTCTCAGGAAATTGATAATATGCTGTAGATTCTTTTTGGTTTGGGCAAGGAGATGTGTTCTGTACAACTGAAAACAAAACCAACTCCCAGCGGGAAGGGATCCTGAGGACTTTCCATGTGGCCAGGGGTTGGCCTAGCTGTGGTGGGAAAGCCAGCCAAGCACTAGACAGGAGCATGTTATACGCTTGGCAGGTGGGAACCATGGATCCAGCAACATCAGACACCAGAACTCTCCAGCTGCTTCACTGCACACCGTGGGACAGTTTGTTCCACCATGTTCAGCAACCGGCAGAAAGAGCACAAGAGGAGGAAACCCTGAGATCAGAGTTTTGCCTGGCCACCAGTACTCATTTTGTTATCCTCATCAGCGTCTGATGAAATCACTAGGGGCCCTTTAACAAATGAGGAAGCTGAAGACTCAGAGCAGAGACTTGCCCTATAGTATAGAGAGAGGGAGAAAGGGAGAGAAGGAGGGAAATAAAGAGAAGAGAGATATCTGTCCACATAGCCACACAGCTCCTTAGAGCCAACATGACCTGGGCTCTTCTAGGTAAACTGACCGAAGCTCTGGAGGAAAGGAAGCTGGTTAATGAAGAATCCTCCTCATTAAGTGAAAGCACATGGGCTGTCAATGTGACTAGAAAGGCAAAGCTTTCTTTACCTTTAAAATGAAAACAGTAAATTCATAAAATTCCTGCTTACAATTTATGGAGTGGCATGTGCTGTGCTAGACCCTCAAGGGAAAAACAACAACAACAAAACTAAATCCCCCGTTCAGAACTGAGTCATAACTAAAAAGCATGGTAATTTATTTGACTAAACATCCTAGTTAGTATTCAGCTCTTAATAACATAATATGCCATCAGTAAATGTGAGGGTACATCAAGCATAGTGACAGCCATTAACATTTCTCCTGGTGCCCCCGTCATCTAAATCACATACACTCCCCAAAACACAACAAAATAACCAACAGTCAACCACAAAACAACCTCAGGAAGGGCAGACCACTGATTCGCGCTAATGTGTGCCACTCTCAGATGTGCAGCGGGAGTGGCCCAAATGTTTGGCTTGGAGGAAGTTAGCCTCCTGGGGTGGGCATGCAAATTTAGTGCTGAGGAGCAGGGCGGGAGCAGGTGGGACAGGAGAACCTGCTCATTGCCCTCTCCCGATGCCCCCAGCTCTGGTAGCCAGGCTGAGCACTTTGGGGCGACTTGGCACAAGCCTCAGAGTCAGCTTCTCCACCACCGTGTGCCCACCCTGTCCTCCCTGAGGCCCCCCCTCCCTGTGTGAGGAGGGGAAATACAAAGAATGGCGCTCAGCCAGAAGATGCCACTGGTCCTGGGCCCCACTTCACATCCCTGGCTACTACCCTCCTTCTCTTCCCTCCGTCCCCAGACCCCTGTAGGCCAGCACATGGTCCCACAGGGCTCAGCTCCTCTGCTCCCTTTCCCAGCCCCGAGGGCACAATTCTGAGTCCCTGAGTTCCTACTTCCTATGTCCATTATTGGCCAAGATGTGGCAGTCCCAGGGGACTGTTGGGGGCTGGTGGCATCAATTGGTGCCCTAGGGTAACTGACATGCTGAGGGAGAGGGCAAGACAGATTGAGTGTGGGAAAATGGGAATACTACACCAAATCCAGATACTCAAGGCCTGAGGAACCAGAGGTAAAGGACAGAGGTCAATGCAATCCTGGAAGTCCAAGGGACAAATCCTAGTTTAAAAAAAAAAAGGCTCTGGAGCCTGAGTTCAAAACTCAGCTCAGCCACTTACAAGCTGCAGGTCCTCAGGCAAGTTACTGACCATTTCCAGGACTCAGGTTCTCTCCTGGGTAAAATGTCCTCATAAAACTGTCAGGATTAGATGAGTTAAGACAAGGGAAGAGTTTAGAACAGTGTATGACCCAGAGTATACACTCAAAATTGTTAGTCATTTTAACAATGGACATCACTATTATCTAATATCAATGAGTTTAACTTCCACACATATAGGTTGGAATTGTAATTAAGTAAATTTCTATGTAGTATTTAATCTATAGGATTTCACTTTAAGCAATCAATGAGTGGCCCAATGTAA